AACGCCATCTGGGCCAGCTGCTTTGTTCTTACTGAGCTCCTTGAGCATTTTTTCCACTTCGTCTCTAGACACCTCTATGTGCTCTATGTTGTTCTCTGGAATTCTTATTGTATCTGGTTCCCTAAAGATTTCATTTTGTACAAACACACTTTGGAACTTTTCATTTAGTGTTTCACACATTTCCTTTTCATCTTCCGTGAATCTATTTCCCATTTTCAACCTCTGAATATTATCCTTTACCTGCAATTTTTTGTTTATGAATTTATTGAATAGACCTGGTTCTGTTTTACATTTGTCTGCAATCCCTTTTTCAAAATTTCTTTCTGCCTCTCTCCTCACTGCCGTGTAGTTGTTTCTCGCATCTTTGTATCGCTGGTATGTTTGGGGGTTCGGCCTCTTCCTGTATTGATTCCTTTTTTGTGTCTTTTGGTCTCTAGCCCTCTCACAATTTCTATTGAACCAATCCTGTTTCCTAGTTCTGCATCTCTGTTTTGGTATAAATTTTGTTGTGCCTTTATCATATATTTCACAAAACTTGACATACATCTCATTCACTTCCTTGCCTAGCATCAAGTCTGTCCAATTATACTCACTAAAAAAATTTCTAAGGTCACCATAATGTCCTCTCCTGAAGTCTGGTTTTTCAACTGCTTCAACCTCCTTATTTTCTTCCAGCTTATAACGCATTGCATACTTTATTCCCAAAAAGACATGGTCACTTTTACCCAAGGGAGGAAGGTACTGAATGTCAAATATCTCTTCCTCCTTCCTGGTAAATATCAAATCTAGCATGGAGGGAACGTCCCGTTCCCTCATCCTCGTAGCTTGTTTAACATGTTGATACAAGAATGTTTCCAGGATGAGGTCTACAAATTTACAGGTCCAAAAATCTTCTGTTTTAGCTTCATATGCTTCCCAGTCTATGGATTTCAAGTTGAAGTCACCGACTATCAACAGTCGTGATCTATCGTTATCCGCTCTCGCTATAATCTCTCTCATTGTTGTTATAAGACCTTCACGTTTACTATCTAGCTCCTCCTTTCACCATGTACAGTGTGCGCGCATGTACATGTGTACACTGTGTGTGTGTGCACATGTGTATGTGTATATGCACGTGTGTGTCACATACCTTGTGTGTATGTGTATATGTATGTGTATGTGTATGTATACATGATATGTATATGTGTATGTGTACTTTTCTTTCAGGAGGGGCTCTGTTCCCTTCTCTGTTGACGGGGCGCTGGGGGAGCAGCTTGCTCTGTTGACTCTCGTATGGTCCTGCTGTTGGTGGGCGCTTTTGGTTGTCTTCCGGCCTCTGGTGGCGGCGGTGGACGGCTTCTCCCCTCTGTGGGGTTCAGAGCTGGCGGGGTGGGCTTCTTCCCCTGCGCTTCGTCATGTCATCTTGGTGGGTGCATTGGGCATGGTCGATCCGCCCCATCCTTCTGGGGTTCCCGTCTGCTCTTTGCAGACATGGGCCTTCGAATCTGCGGTTCTTCTTGACTTCTTCAGTCTGCGCCCTGGTTTCTATGCCCTCCTCGGAGGACTGTTGTCTCCTGTCCGGCTTCTGTTGGGGCCGGGTGCCTGGATGGTGGCCCTTGACCTCCAGGTCAATTATTGCCACTTGGTGTACTTTTGCATCTTTACCAGATCTTGATGCCCTGTCTGAGTCTGCTTGAGATTCGGTGTCTGGCCTACCTCGACGACTGGCTGGTGTGGGCTCCCAGTCAGTCCGCTTGTCTGCTCACCAGGGGTGTGGTTCTTTCCAGATCGCCGGGTTTGGTTTCCTGGTGATCTGGAGGCCATTCCATCTGTTTCCATCCCGGGTTCAGACCTGGGCCTTGATTAGAGCTATTGGGCCACTCCTTGTCTTTCCCGCCAGAAGTGTTACTGCGGCTGTGGTCCCACCTTCGGCTGTGCATGAGGAGGTCCTGGGTTATCTTCAGGTTATCTTGAGATAATTTTGGGGCTTTAGTGTCCCCACGACCCGGTCCTCGACCAGGTTTCCACCCCCAGGAAGCAGCCCGTGACAGCTGACTAACACCCAGGTACTTATTTTACTACTAGGTAACAGGGGCATAGGGTGAAAGAAATTCTGCCCATTGTTTCTCGCCGGCGCCCGGGATCGAACACGGGAACACAGGATCACAAGTCCAGCATGCTGTCCGCTCGGCCAACCGGTTCCTTGTCCGCTCAGGTTGCTTGAGCGGTTGTGCGGGAGTCTGAACTTCGACGTGCTGGTCTGCCCGCGGGGTCGGGTTTGGGTTCGGCGTCTGTTTGGTTCCTTTAGAGACTCCCCTTCCGCCTCTTGCAATCGTTGGGTTCGTTCCTCTGGGGATCTTGTGTTGGTGCTGCGTCACCAGCTTCATCTTTGGGGTTTTCGGGGTTCCGTGCCTTGGCACCTCCCCGAACCATCGCTTGATGTGTTCACGGACGGAAAGCCTCGGCTGGGGCTTTCTGACCAGTGCTCACCAGGTCGGCCTGGGATGGTGGAGTCTGTCCATCCGTCGGGCTCACAGCACGGTTCGGGAGTTCGTGGGTGTCTGGTTTGCGCTTCGGAGGGTTTGGGTCACTTGGTGCTTTACCATTCAGCTCCATTAGGACTGTTTTCTGTCGGTTCTTGCCGGCACCACAGGGTTTCTCTTAGGTGTTGACCTTTGGGGTTGGTTCCTTGGAGTAGCTCGTTTGCTGGATTCTCAGGGTTTGGCTAACCATGAGTTTCATGTCCGGGGTGTGTCCTGTGTCCTGGCGGACAGCTGTCTCGGTTCATTCCTCTGTTCGCGGATTGGCCAGTCATCGCCGACTCGTTTCGTTGGCTCTGCCGGACGTATGGACTCCTGGCCATGGACTTTCTTCGAGCCGGCGTGGTCTAGGCATCACCCATTTTATGTGGCGCCCTTACCCGCCTGCGAGGTGTTCACGTTGGATGCTTTTCGGCAGGACTGGTCAAGGTGGGGGTACCTGTTCCTCTTCTCCCGGTCCATCTGTTGCTTCGGGTTCTGGCTCGGTTGCAGCCCCATTCCCACGAGAGCAGTCCTTATGGTTCCTTGGTGGCCGGGCCCAGCTTCTTTTCAGGCGCTGCTTGATAGGTGTCCAAACCCGGGGAGTTTTCCTGCGGCTCCGCCTCTTTCGGCAGGTCGGATCGGTCCTGTACGTGACTGGTTCAGCCTTTTCCTCGGCTCTTCGCATCTGGTATTTTGACGCGGGTATCACCATCTCTGTGGTGTTTAGGTGGCCTTGTTGACGGCGGCCCACCTGCGAGCTTCGTCTTGGCGACAGTATGACGTTCCTGGTGTTTCTATGCACTTTTTCTTGCTCTTTGTACATTGTCTTCTCTTTCGCATCGGGTTGTCTTGTCCTTCTTGGGTTTTTTCTGGACTACAGTTATTTGATGTTTTTTTACTGTTGCCTCGTTTTATGCGGCGCTGGCGAAGCCGCTCCGGCTTGCGTTCGGGGTGGATGTCACATCTGCCCCGTTTCGTACGCTTTCTCGTGTTTTGTTTCACCTCCGGCCTGCTCATGCATCGCCTATGCCATCCTGGTCCTTGATCAGGGTGCCTTCTTCTCCTCCTCAGTTTGTGGCAGCACCTTCAGTTCAGGTTTCTGCTCCTTGGTACAGCGGAAGATTTTGTACGTGTGCAGCCTTTCTCCGTCATGGTGACGGTCAAGACGGCTGGTTTCCGGAGGGGTTCTTGGGTTATTGATGCTTGATTGGTTTGGCCGGGGGTGCGTCCTGTGTTGTCCGGTTGCGTTTTTTGCCATTATCTGCGTACCGTGTCTGGGGATGCGCTTTGCTTTGATCCGGTTCCCTTCGTTCCCTGTTTCAGGGCTCGGGTCTGCCAGGTCGTCCGCAGAGTTTTTCAGTCTTCCAGCCTGCGGTTTGTCCTTGTGCCCGTGCTGTTCGGACGTTTGCAGCTTTTGCTGCTGTGTTGGTGACATCTAGGGCTCATTTTAGGCACAGGGAATTGAGGGTCGCACAGGTTCTTGGCCGCCCATTCATTATGCGCGTCTGCTCCTGTGCGTTCTTGTTGCCTTGTGTCGCACGTTGCATCCTGTTGTCTCGGCTAAGCGTTGCGGAGTTTGTGGTGGCCACCGCCCGGGTTAGCCCTTTCTTTTCCTTCTCTTTGGGTATGAAGCTCCAGGGAGCCGTAGGGGCTTCCCAAAGAAAACCAGCGTTGAATGTAATGAAACGGCATTTTCTGGGTGAGCCCCGGAGGCTCCCTGGCAACCCTCCCTCCCACCGGTCGGCGGTTTTTCACGTTGGTTGAAGCTTAGCTTCCGAACTGAAGCTTGGCAGCCGGCGCTGTAGGTCCGAGGCTCCCCCCTCCCCCTCCTCCTCTTGGGGCAGGGAGGGCTGCACAGACGATCGGCGCAGCAGTAAAGTGTGATGTTTGCTTGTTTGCTTGTTTCCTTGGGATTGTAGGGAGTTTCTACCTCTCTGTTCGGTTTTTTGTTTTTAGTTTTTTTACCATGTGGGGTTTGTTTTGTCATGCCTACCTTTCTGGGTGCCTGACCCCGGTCGGTGGCAGATAAGGAAAACCCCAACCACAAGAGGGTTTTCCAGTGCCATTGCTCCCTGAAACCTCTGAAGGGGCCAGATTCTGGCACTGGTCCCTGGTAGGTCTGAACTCCTTAGCTAATGTCCCAGTCTAATATAACATAGATTAGCCCGATAAGCTCCAGGGAGCCTCCGGGGCTCGCCCAGAAAATGGCGTTTCATTACATTCAACACTGGTTTTTTGTTTTATTGTGCCTAGCAGTGTTGCAGGCTATAACCCTCAAGCAAATCCCAGAGGTTAAATGCTCCCTGCATCTCTCTGAATGGGCCAGGTTCTGTCTCTGGTTCCCGGTAGGCAACTAAAAGGAATCTGTGACTGATGACCATAAATAGGATACCACTGTATCAGTAAGATCACCCAGAAACTGGCTTTTCATTACATTCAAAGCTGGTTTTTTGTGGCTTAAATATTCATAAATTTTAAATATGTTATTTTCATTTTCAGGTGAGGCATTCAGATCATGAACTGATCATTATAGATCGTTTTTACCCTCGACGAAATCAGTATGCTGTTGTTGCAAATCTCGGTCATAACACTATTGATCAAGACCTGTCACATTTCTACTTTGGAGGCTCCGTCCTTGCATCTTCACATGGACAATCTGGTTATGTAATGTTCAGGAACATTAGTTTGCAACCAGGAGAAGCTCTAGCATGTATATTGGATTTATAAATATTGTATAGTGTTATATGTAAATTGTAAACTGCTAGTTTATTGAGTGTATGACCTTCAGAAATGCTGTTATGATAATGAATGTGCCATATCAAACTGGCAACATAACTTCAAGCTTCAGTATTTTATGAAATATTTATTAATGTCAGTTTAACCAAGTATTTTATTATAGGGAAAGTGTGTGGTATTTATATACTGTACTCACCCAGCATAACTTTCAGCCACATGACTCATTCTATACTACTTGTAACACTACAAAATTTCTTTCTAACAGTACAGATCTAGAGTACAATGTAACCTCATGGAATGGAATAATTTTCACAAGGACCTATTCTGTTTCACAAAGGAGGAAAATCCTGTCAAACATTTAACCATTTATCAATATTCCCTGCTAATTATCTGAGCGAGATTGCCCCAAGTCATTCCTCAAGCCAAGGTGTGACCTACCCTGAACACAACCCTCCTCTCAGGCTATCATTGACATGGGCCACAGTTCCTCCTATCTTGCTTAACCTGACTACTACTGCTTCTTCTACTGTACTGGTAAACATCTTATTAATTCATAAATAGCCAAAGAAATGATGGCTGAGAACTTGAGTAAGGAGAAGTTGTGCCATGTCATTGGAGGATGACACACCTGGCTGGGACACACAGTTACACTCGCATATATATATATATATATATATATATGTCGTACCTAGTAGCCAGAATGCACTTCTCGGCCTACTATGAAAGGCCCGATTTGCCTAATAAGCCAAGTTTTCCTGAAATAATATATTTTCTCTAATTTTTTTCTTATGAAATGATAAAGCTACCCATTTCATTATGTATGACGTCAATTTTTATTTATTGAAGTTAAAATTAACGTAGATATATGACCAAACCTAACCAACCCTACCTAACCTAACCTATCTTTATAGGTTAGGTTAGGTTAGGTAGCCAAAAAAGTTAGGTTAGGTTAGGTTAGGTAGGTTAGGTAGTCGAAAAACAATTAATTCATGAAAACTTGGCTTATTAGGCAAATTGGGCCTTGCATAGTAGTCTGAGAAGTGCGTTCTGGCTACTAGGTACGACATATATATATATATATATATATATATATATATATATATATATATATATATATATATATATATATATATATATATATATACATATATATATATATATATATATATATGTCGTACCTAGTAGCCAGAACTCACTTTTTGGCCTACTATTCAAGGCCCGATTTGCCTAATAAGCCAAGTTTTCCTGAATGAATATATTTTTTCAATTTTTTTTCTTATGAAATGATAAAGCTACCCATTTCATTATGTATGAGGTAAATTTTTTTTTATTGGAGTTAAAATTAACGTAGATATATGACCGAACCTAACCAACCCTACCTAACCTAACCTAACCTATCTTTATAGGTTAGGTTTGGTTAGGTAGCCGAAAAAGTTAGGTTAGGTTAGGTTAGGTAGGTTAGGTAGTCGAAAAACAATTAATTCATGAAAACTTGGCTTATTAGGCAAATCGGGCCTTGCATAGTAGGCTGAGAAGTGCGTTCTGGCTACTAGGTACGACATATATATATATATGTATATATATATATATATATATATATATATATATATATATATATATATATATATATATATATATATATGTCGTACCTAATAGCCAGAACGCACTTCTCGGCCTACTATTCAAGGCCCGATTTGCCTAATAAGCCAAGTTTTCATGAATTAATGTTTTTTCGTCTACCTAACCTACCTAACCTAACCTAACTTAGCTTTTTTTGGCTACCTAACCTAACCTTACCTATAAATATAGGTTAGGTTAGGTTAGGTAGGGTTGGTTAGGTTCGGTCATATATCTACGTTAATTTTAACTCCAATAAAAAAAAATTGACCTCATACATAGAGAAAAGGGTTGCTTTATCATTTCATAAGAGAAAAATTATAGTAAATATATTAATTCAGGAAAACTTGGCTTATTAGGCAAATCGGGCCTTGAATAGTAGGCTGAGAAGTGAGTTCTGGCTACTAGGTACGACATATATATATATATATATATATATACATATATACACACACACACACACACAAGTGCTGGGAAGACGGGACACTACAAGCGTAGCTCTCATCCTGTAACTACACTTAGGTAATTACACACACACGAGCGTAGCTCTCATCCTGTAACTACACTTAGGTAATTACACACACACGAGCGTAGCTCTCATCCTGTAACTACACTTAGGCAATTAGGTAATTACACAATGGGGCCTCGACTTACGATGCTAATCCGTTCCCAGAGACGGATCGTAACTCGAAATATTGTAAGTCGAAGCGATTTTTCCCATAAGAAATAAAGGGAATTGAATTAATCCGTTCCCCACCCTCCAAAATATTAACATACAAATACATTTTATACTGAATACAATGTTTTTTTTCTACCTACAATACAGTACCTAAGTTTATCTTACCTTTATGGAGGGCTCTTGATGGCATATGGAAGATGGTGATGAGTTGGTAGGAGGAGAGTTGTTACTGTTCGGAAGGGAAGTTCCCTTCCATTATTACATCAGGCAGTGATGTTTTCTCTCTCCTTCATTTTGCCTGAATGCCACTAGGACCTGGTTGTGGTTCAGTGCTTGTCTCACTACAAATTTGTCAAGAGACATTTGTTTTTTACCTTCGTTTTAACGATTGTCTGTAATGATGCATCACAGTGTCATTGAATAGGTTAAGGCAACGGCCTACTGCAACTTAATTTGGGCGAGTCGTTTTAGCAAAGGTTTGCAATTCTTCCCATGCTGCACACATTTTCTTAATTGTTGAGGAAGAGACATTCTGTACTCTTGTTTTTGCTCTATGGTCATCCTTACATGGGTTTTCATATGTTGAGCCTTACCACTGACTTTCCTGGGACTCATGGTGTGATATATAATAATTACTGTACTTTAATGTTCAAAATGCAAAAAACACCACAAATGCGGAATTTCTTATATGGCGCGATCGTCACTTAGCGGGCAGCTGTAGTAAACTGAGGCAGGTCGGCCGCGTGACCGGGAACCACGCGCTCGGTCGACCCGAACGTTTACCAACAAATATCGGAAGTCGATGACACCATCGGATGTCGAGTCGCATTTTTCGATAAAATTTACATCATAACTCGAAATTATCGTAAGTAGGGGCAATCGTAAGTCGAGGTGCCACTGTATATATATATATATATATATATATATATATATATATATATATATATATATATATATATATATATATAGATATATATACATACATACATATATATATATATGTCGTACCTAGTAGCCAGAACGCACTTCTCAGCCTAATATGCAAGGCCCAATTTGCCTAATAAGCCAAGTTTTCCAGAATTAATATATTTTCCCTAATTTTTTCTTATGAAATGATAAAGCTACCCATTCCATTATGTATGAGGTCAATTTTTTTTTATTGGAGTTAAAATTAACGTACTGTAGATATAGGACCGAACCTAACCAACCCTACCTAACCTAACCTAACCTATCTTTATGGGTTAGGTAGCCAAAAAAGTTAGGTTAGGTTAGGTTAGGTAGGTTAGGTAGTCGAAAAACAATTAATTGATGAAAACTTGGCTTATTAGGCAAATCAGGCCTTGCATAGTAGGCTGAGAAGTGCGTTCTGGCTACTAGGTACGACATTATATATATATATATATATATATATATATATATATATATATATATATATATATATATATATATATATATATATATATATACACACAGTGGTACCTCGGAATACGAGTGTCCCTGTATACGAGTATTTCGGAATACGAGCCGGATTTCCTCGGAAAATGTGCCTCGGAAGGCGAGGGTTACCTCGGAACACAAGTTTGTTCATATGCATACAGGCCGACCTATCAAGTGGTGGTACGGCGATCATCGCCCCTCCGCCCCTCAGTTTATCAGTGCCTCGCGCCCAGTGACTATCCCACGTAAATTCTTCACCCGGATTTTCAGTGTTTTGTTGGATTTTTGGTCATTTGACCATAAAAGTTGTTATTATGTATCTCACCATGGGTCCCAAGAAAGCCAGTAGTAAGGATCAAGACAAGAAAGCTCATGTGAGGATGACAATAGAGGAGAAACAAGAGATCATTCAGAAGCATGAAAATGGGACACGTGTTATTGAACATTGTAGGCAGTACAATAAAGCCACATCAACAATATGCACTATACTTAAGAAGAAAAATTAGATTATGAGTGCTAAAGTGGCAAAAGGCGTAAGAACAATGACGAAACAAAGACCACAAATACTTGAAGAAGTGGAAAAGTTGTTATTAATTTGGATACACGACAAGGGATTAAGGGGTAATAGTGTTTCGGAGGCCATCATTTGTGAGAAAGCCAGGGTATTGCACGAAGACCTTGTAAAGAAAACCCCTGGAATGAGTGATGCAGATACGATAGACTTTAAGGCAAGCAGGGGCTGGTTTGAAAAATTTAGAAAAAGAAGTGGTATCCATAGTGTTGCAAGGCATGGGGAGGCAGCCAGCTCAGACAAACCAGCCACTGAACAATTTAGTGAAGAATTTAAAGAGTTTGTAGAGGCTGAGGGATACCTACCGCAAGAAGTGTTTAATTGTGACGAAACAGGACTGTTTTGGAAAAGATTGCCTAAGAGGACATACATTACCAAGGAGGAAAAAGCATTGCCTGGACACAAGCCTATGAAAGATAGGTTTACACTTGTGCTGTGTTCAAATGCGAGTGGCGATTTGAAAATTAAACCCTTGCTAGTGTATCATTCTGAAAATCCAAGAGTTTTCAAACAGTATAAAGTGCAGAAAACCCATTTGTGTGTGATGTGGAAGCCTAATAAAAAAGCATGGGTGACTAGGATTATTTTTTCGGAGTGGGTGAATGAAGTGCTGTGCCCTACCATAGAAAAATATCTGCAGGAGAAACATTTGCCACTCAAAGCCGTGCTTCTCCTCGACAATGCTCCTGCTCATCCTCTAGGCTTGGAAGATGATTTGTTGCCCAGATACAATAAATTCCTCACAGTTAAATTCCTTCCTCCTAACACCACTCCTCTAATTCAGCCTATGGACCTGAAAATCATAGCGAATTTTAAGAAACTTTATGAAACTTTTCCGGAAATGTTTTGAAGTGACTGAAGCCACAAACCTCACTCTCAAAGAGTTCTGGAAAGACCATTTTAACATTTGTAGTGCTTTAAAACTCGTTGACAAAGCCTGGCAAGAAGTGACTCAAAGAACCCTGATCTCTGGCTGGAGAAAATTGTGGCCTGAATGTGTGACAGAACTAGACTTTGAGGGGTTTGAGCCTGTAAATAATGCACCTATTGTTGAGGAAATTGTTACTCTGGGCCGGCAAATGGGCTTGGAATTGGATGGTGATGATGTGGAGGAGTTGGTGGAAGAACACAACGAAGAACTGGCCACCGGAGAACTCCAAGCCCTTCAAAAGGAACAGCAAGATGACCCAGCTGATGATGTTTCTCCAGTGGAGGAGGAGGAGGCAGTAGCGAATGTCCCTTCTGCACAAATTAAGATGGTGTGTCAGATGTGGGAAGAGGTGCAGACTTTTATTGAAAAGACTCACCCAGAGAAAGCTGTTGTAGGCCGTTGCCTTAATCTTTTCAATGATAATGTGATGCCTTACTACAGAGACAGCTTGC